ACTGCTTAGAAGAATTTCATTTGCTGTACTGTGAAATATTTTCTTCTACTACTACTTCTATGATTTTCTATTTGTGCTCAAGTAACTAAGTCAATGTTTTTCAAATTAGGCAACTTTAAGATGTGTGAACCTCAACTCCCCAAAAGTTGTCAAGTTTGGAAAATAGTCGTAAAAGTCACACTTTGTCTCTAACTACATATTAGTGAGCTGCATTGTGTGAATATAGTTTCATACTATTAATCTATATGCTGATGAACCAACATCATTAGTTCATCAGCATCATTGGTTCATCAACATCATTGTCCATAGTCATCATTATATTTCATGTAACTAAAGTGGGAGTAACATCTGTTTCAAGAGAATTTTGTAATGGTAAATTTTTGTTGTTGTTTTTTAAACCATTTTGCTAAGGAATTTTCTTTCCTGAGGTGCTAAAGCAAATCTTAAAGTGCTTTTTATTGTTGTTTCTAAAAGCTAGTGGATTGCATGTAATTTCATATTACATTGATTCTTCTGGTTATGCATGAAGAGATTAACTATTTATAGTCTTCTGATCTCTAATTATATGAATTCAACACCAAATAAACTAATGTTATTTGTAGTTGGACCAGCTCCATCTTGTGGTCTAACTAATGTGGATGTTTTCTTTTTGGATTTCTCTTTTTTCTTTTAATTTAGTTGCCAGCACAGTATTACCAGGTTCTTGACAACTCCATGATTCATCTTTTATAGCACTGAAAGCAGAGGTGAAATGCTCCCGGTTCGGACCGGCTCGGGCGAGTAGGAAGCAATGGCAGCGGGCAGTTCGTAGAACCAGTAGCAAAAATCCCTTCCCCTCCCTCAGCCTCCAGCTTTCTTACCTTCACACGCCTGCCTTGCTACACTTGCTGTAATCCCTGCAATCCATTTCATCAGCAAGCAACTGAATCTCCCTGCCTGCAATCAAGCTCATCGGTGAGCAGCTCTTTCGGCCTGCCTGCCTGCCTGCCTGCCTGTAAGTTTTTTTTCCTCTTTGGGAGCTTTAAAAAAAATAGTTAATTGGGTTTTTTTTAGTTGTTCTTTTTTTAGACCTAGCCATTTAAAGTTTAGGAAGTTTTAAATTTAGCTGCTTTTATATAAAAATAAAATAAAATAATATTTGTGCAGCTTTCTGAGATTTTGTGTGTTTCTGTAGTGTTTCACTCTAACTACACAAACACACAAAATCTCACAAAGCTGTATGTGGAATTTTGTGTGTGTAAAGTGTGAAAGTTGGTTTTTTGGACTTTTTGTGGCTGTGTGAGGTTCCTGCTTGTTGCAGGGGGCATTTTGGGTATAGCACAGCTGCTTTTACATTGGGTGAGCCAGTTGTGTTGTGTTGTGTGTGTGTAAAGTGTGAAAGTTGGTTTTTTGGGCTTTTTGTGCCTGTGTGAGGTTCCTGCTTGTTGTAGGGGCCATTTTGGGTCTAGCACAGCTGCTTTTACATTGTGGGTGAGCCAATTGTGTTGTGTTGTGTTTTGTAGGTTAAAAAATGGCGAAGAAGTGATATTGACTTGGCCATACCCACCTGACCAACAAGCCACGCCTACCCAGTCACCTGACCAACAAGCCACACCCACTAATTAAGCCCCGCCCACAGAACCAGTAGCAAAAATTTGTAGATTTCACCCCTGACTCAAAGACTACATATTAATGTTTAATAAAGGGATATAGGAGAGAAGAGGGAGAGGCAGAAGGAGAGGGAAAAATTTTGTCTATCCCAACTGGCTATTACAATCAATCTGTATATGTACATGTAAATCAATCAAGAAAAAATTCTATTTCCAAAGAGTTAAATTTCCTTCTTTCCTGTCCACAATGCTTCATTTTTCTGTTATTAAGTTGTAATAGTACATTATAAAAAGGGGAACATGTTGACAATATGGCACATTTATTAAATCTTTAGCATTATGATAACCATGATTCCAACTAGCTTTTTGGACTAGTCCCTACAATTTACTTGGGAAAACTTTCAGAACTGGTTTGCCCTTGCTTTCTTTCCAAACCTATTCTTTATGTAGGTCTAGGAGCTGAAATATGATGAAAAGAGATTTCATATATGAAAATATCTGAAGTTCAGTTCTAAATAATTTATCCTTTTCATTAGCCACAGTTCTGTCAAGTTGTGTAAAAATGGTTCATATCAACATTTCAAAAGTTCTGTCCACCCAAAACAATAATGAATGTGAGAAAAAAGCAGTTTTGTGCTGAATTAAAACAACAATAATTTTATAATCATCATATTTATCTCTCAAGTACTGACTGTGTTCAGCTGGAAATAGCTAAAAACATTTATTTTACAAGAAAGAGGAAAAGTGCTTATTTTTCATAAAATGGCCTTAACAATCTGTTTCTTTAAAATGACAAAAATATTTAAATTGTTTACAGTCCATAGACTGCTTTTCCTAGTATGGCGGGGGGTGTCTCATTTCCTAAAAGACATCTTGGGGGGTTTTGGTGCTATTCATTATTCACTAATTAGGACATTTAATTAAAGGAAAGGTATCTGTAGTTCGGAATTATATTTAATCTAATGATAGACTTCATAGGTATCAGTTACAACCTCCTATGATTCAAAATGACATCATATACCTCATGCTTTCACGATGGAACCAATGAAATTATGCAATTTGGATCACTCACATTATAACATCATGAACAAAGTAAATAAATACTTCTAGCATTTCTGATGCACAATATGACACCTATTCACCCTTATTCTTTCTTCAAATGGCTTGTGAATGCAGGTACTCCTCAGTGTATGATCACAACAGAGCCCAAAATTTCTGTTGCTAAGCTAGGCAGTTGTTAAGTGAATGTTCCCCATTTTATGACATTTTTGCTACAGTTGTTAAGTGAATCATACAGTTATTAAGTGAATCTGGCTTCCCCCGCTGACTTGGCCTAAATTTTGATCATGTGACCACGGGGATGCTGCAATGGCTATAAGTGTGAAAATGGTCATAAGTCACTTTTTTCCATGCTGTTGTAACTTTGATTTGTCACTAAACAAATGGTTGTAAGTCAAGGGCTATCTGTAAGCAGGGAGCAAGACAGAAAATATGAAAACCAGAACTACCACTTAAAATAACAGTGCAAAATGATAGTCAAAAAAGCATGAGAAAAAAGAATTTCTTAAACCTGCTGCTATTCATGTATTGTTCCCCTGCAGACCCATAATCCAATTTCTCTATTTATCTGGCAAATGTATTGCTTGATATTTGAAGTATTCAAACAATTTGGTGGCTGCAGGAGACAAATGATGAAAATAGAAGTGATCTATCATTTCTCCTCTGAAAAGCTTCCTCCATGAGAATGGAATATTAGAGCCACCTCTATCCTTTAGCAAAGTCAAGCAACAACTATTGCTCTTTTGTTTCTATATGTGGAATAGGTGAGATAGTAATGAATTGATAAGCAAGCTCATATTTGGGTTCCATCATTATTCTTCTCCCACTCTTCTGAAGAAATGGGCTCTGTATGTATCCATAGATTAAATTAAACTTTCTTGGTTCTGATTTTAAACATGAACATGAAATATATATTCCAACTGCTTGTTTCAAAAATTAGCTGCTTAAAAATAATAAAGAATTTTACAGATTATTAAATTAGAATAGAAAAACCCTAGAAACTAAACATTGATTACTACCCACTACAAATTGCTGGAGGTGTCAGGTTTCAAGAATCAGATCTCTTGTATATTTTCAACCTCACCATTCAAATGAAAAGATTTTTTTTTAATACTTAAAAGGTCCTTAAAAGGACCATGGGATTATGTGTGAAACCAGGAGATCCTCACGGATGTCTGCCTACCAGTCCATCTGTTACTCATTTTGCACCACCCAGGAGGCACGTGTGGCTTAAGGATTGCCACGGACGCGAGTAACTTTGCCTCCCAAACTCGACATTAAACCCTGACATGTTATTTCTGTTTTCCTCTTAGGTTTTCTTACTGTTTTTTTAAAAAAATTGTTTTAATTGTTTTAACCTGTAAAAATGAAGTGTTTTAATATTGTGTGTGACCAGCCATACGCTAAATAAATAAATGAAAAGATCTAATTAGATAAGAAAAAATGATCAGCTACAGTAATACCATCTTTCTCAACTTCTCTTCCACACCAGAAAAAAGAAATAGAAGTGGAAAACTTCTCAAAATAGACTATGCAAGATTTGAGGGGAAATCTAAGAGGCACAGCATGGTTCTAATATCTGCTTCTATTGTATCATTTTCAGTGTCATTTAGAAAACATGGGATTTTCTATATGAACCCAGTGCAGGAAGCAGTTTTTTCTCTACTAAAATTATGGTTGCTACTTTGATCTATCCAGCTGGAGATTTATTTGGGTTAACTAACAGCTGGAATGTTGGTTTTAGAAGAGCTCTGAATTGGGCTTGTTTAAACCTAAATTGATGAGGGGGGAAAAGAAACTAAATATTTTCTCTACAAAGATAAAACTTCTAAATCCCACTTCACAGAATATCCAGTTCAAGCTGAGAAAAGACAGGCTTGTATGTGTTTGTTTATATTGTTGCTAACAACAGTACTAACATTAAAAATATATACATATTATCATTTGCTGGAGGCTTCATATCTATCCAGAACTGGCAGATTTTTCACTTCTTCTGTCTTGAGAGTCTGATTACTATATGTTTTTCAGTTCAGTTGACATAATGCGCTTCTGTGCAGTTATTGAAAGTGTATATTCTTATTTAAACTAGCAAAGCACATTTATTTCACAGTTTTGAATTGGAAAGCTCATTGTATACTTTTCTGGGTCAGAACACAAAATAAAAACCATTATAACTAGTATATGTAAAATAGGTATTTTCAAAATTCAGATTATTCATGAATTACAAAATATATATTTTATGCAGACAGGCTGAACTTGGACAATTCCATGTCACATATTACTTGACCATTCATGTTATTAATATTGAAACCTATGCTTTGTGATTTTCATGCAGAGTATTTACAAGCATTAATGAATTACACAACTGAGAAATTACTACTAATAATATTAATCACCAACCTCAGAAAGTCCAAAAAGGCAAGGTGATAACTGGCAAACCAAATGAGATCAAAGAGTAAGTTAAACTCAGTATTTCACCCATTTTCAAATGCTCCCAATGCTTATGTCAATATACTACTCAGGGGTGGGTTCTACTTACCTTTCCTACCAGTTCGCAGTGGGGCCACACACTCTTCTGCACATGCGCAGAAGCATTTTGGTGATGTTAGGGTCAGTGGGGGGGGCCGGGCCCCCCCACCGGTTTTACTACCGGTTCTATAGAAACGGTGCGAACTGGGGGCAACCCACCACTGATACTACCGTATTTTCCGGCGTATAAGACAACTTTTTAACACATGAAAATCTTCTCAAAAGTCAGGGATCGTTTTATATGCCAGGTGTCATTCTCCTGTAACCAGGCAGACCAGCCCGAAAGACTCTGACAAGCCTTAAATGGCTCTGGCGATCCAAGCTCTGACGATCCCAGCTTTGCCTGCTAATCAGGCAACTCAGCTGGGATGCCAGAGCCATGTAAAAGGAAAAAACTTTTTTTCTTTTACATGGCTCTGCAAGCTCTGGCAATCCCAGCTGCGTTGTCTGCCAATCAGGCAACGCAGCTGGGATCGCCAGAGCCCAGAGTCCTGTAAAAGGAAAAAAGTTTTTCCCCTCCAGCTTGCTTACCTTAGCTGCTAGTCGCAACGCTTGCCTTGCTTCGCTTGCCTGAATCCATTCCATCAGCAAGCCACACCCTGCCTGCAATCAAGCAGGCAGGAGTTGTAGACTTCAACTCCCAGAATTCCTCAGCCAGCAAAACAAAGCTGGCTGAGGAATTCTGGGAGTTGAAGTCTACAAGTCTTAAAGTTGCCATGGTTGGAGACCCCTGTTCTATTGGGTAAGTTTTTTCCCCCTTTGGGAGCTTTAAAAAAAATAATTAATTGGGGGTTTTTTTAGTTGTTCTTTTTTAGACCTAGCCATTTAAAGTTTAGGAAGTTTTAAATTTAGTTTTCATATAAAAATAAAAATAATATAATACTTGTGCAGCTTTCTGAGATTTAGTGTGTTTCTGTAGTGTTTCACTCTAACTACACAAACACACAAAATCTCACAAAGCTGTATGTGGAATTTTGTGTGTGTGAAGTGTGAAAGTTGTTTTTTTGGGCTTTTTGTGGCTGTGTGAGGTTCCTGCTTGTTGCAGGGGCCATTTTGGGTCTAGCACAGCTGCTTTTACATTGTGGGTGAGCCAGTTGTGTTGTGTTGTGTGTGTGTAAAGTGTGAAAGTTGTTTTTTTGGGGCTTTTTGTGGCTGTGTGAGGTTCCTGCTTGTTGCAGGGGTCATTTTGGGTCTAGCACAGCTGCTTTTACATTGTGGGTGAGCCAGTTGATGTTTTTTAATTTTTATTTGGTGTGCGTTGGAAGAGGGGTAGTCTTATACGGTGAGTATAGCCCAAACCCTATATTTTAACAGGAAAAGTCGGGGGTCGTCTTATATGCCCAGTCATCTTATACGCCGGAAAATACGGTACTATCATTTTTATTCCCCACTCCCTTAAAGGAAGTTTGACGTTAATGTGTGTTCTTCCCTTGTTTCTAAACTTGAAATGCTCTCTCAATAGATTGACCAGTCCATTTCCTACCCATTATTTTTTGTTTGTTATATGTTCATTTAGTAGGTAGTTTTCATCTCCCTGTCTAGTTGTTAAGAATGAGAATGCAAAGCTGCCATAGCTTGCTTTTTGTAACAATTCCCTATAACTTTGCACCACATTTATTCATTTCCTAACCCAAACATAGCCTTCTAGATTACATAAATACCTATAGATGTAAGATAATGGTATTTGTTTTAGTAAAGCTTTTTGTGACAGGGAACAAGTAGCCATGAGCCTTGGTAGTACAGTGGTCTAAGGCACCCTGTTATTAAGCTGGTTATTAAGACCAGCTGCCTGCAATTACTGCAGGTTCGAATCTCGCCAAGGCTCAAGGTTGACTCAGCCTTCCATCCTTTCTAAGGCAGGTAAATTGAGGACCCAGTTGTGGGGGCAATAAGCTGACTTTGTATAAATATACAAAAGGATGAAGGCTATTGCTGAGCACATTGTAAGCCGCCCTGAGTCTCCGGAGAAGGGCGGCATATAAATCAAAATTATATATATATATATAAAAAAGAAAAAAAGCATTCTACAACTTTCTTAAGAAAAAAACACTTTTAAGCTTTTTGTGCCCAACTGCTATAGTAGCTAAGTTTCTTAACCAGCCATTTTTAACACAATTCCTTTATAACTAGTACCCCATACCCTACTATTTTATTCTGACATACAAGCCATTTCTAAAGGGGCAAGGGAATATCTGTTTTTCTTTCAAATTTTTTGTTTCTTAAAAATTCCAATAATTGCTAGTGCATGACTGACATAATATAAATCAAATAAATACATTTTCACGCTTACTTCAAAAAATTAGACAGAACCCACATAGAAAATACTGAGTTTAGGAATCAGACTCAACTTTCCAGGTTCAGACACCATTTTTCCTTCTCTTTTAAAGTCATTTCCCCACTTCTGAGATGAAGTTGAGCAACTTATCTTCGTGTTGGCAAAACACATTCTGGAATGAAATTTGCTATCCCCATTGTTGATCCCTAACCTGACTCCATTCATAGTCATTGTGTCATCTGGGTTTTCTACAAAGTGATGAATCACAAAGTTTAGCAGATTTTACGTGTGTTAAAGGTGTCCTTGGACTTGTCCAAATAAAGTAAAAATATCACTTAAAACATATAGCTGAGAATCTGTCACAGATGAGCCAGAAGAAAAATAAAAGCAACTTGGGGACCCAACATAAAACTTTATCGTTAGGGCATGTTTGTGCCATATTTAAGTACAAATAGGCAAAAGGATCTAAATATTTGTGACAGGAAACATTGTTATAAAGATTAAGCAGTAGTTAATCTGCTTTTACTTGCACATAGTCTAATGTAATCTTTCTCCCATTTTAAATAACTTCTTAATAAAGGAAACAAATTAATCAACTCAGCAATCTAAAAAACAAATTCAGGAACGGTAATTATACATGTATTGTTTGGCTTTATTAGCAAAATATCAACTGCATGAACTCAAAAAAATGTTTTGAGTAAACATTTATACAATTTCACTATAAATCTGTTAGAGCAGCTGCCAATAGCTAGTTTTACAACTTCTATATTCATGATTAAAATATATGAACATTGAGGTGATATATTGCATGAACAAAAATAAATAAATTTGGGGGAACTGTCATTGCTTATCGAATGGGTTGTTTGAAGTTATGGGACAATCCCATTATTTTATCATTATAATTAATTATATCATTATTAATATTAAGGCTTGTTTGATTACTTATTACTTTTTTTGAGCATCCTCTAACTGAACTTATGAGTTCTTACCACTTCTCCACATGGTTGGTGGCTATGGATGACTGAGTAATTGTTTGATTCTTGTGATGCCAAGGACATCACAAAGAAGGTTTCCACACCAATAGACCTACAAAAGTCTTTACCATATTTGTATAACTATGTTTTAGGTAATGACAGGCCTGGGTGTATCTTATTTTCATACTTACCACGCTTTTAAATTCCATAGATATTCTAAGAAAGAGAAAGAGATGCACACAGAGTAAAGGAATATATTATAGCTGTGCCAATAAATATTTGAAGAATGGAGATTGAATATTACTCCTCACCATAAATACATCCACTTCCATGTATTTATTAAAAAGAGCAGTGAATCTCCAGAGAGGGATAGCAGCATTAGCCTTTTCTGCCAAAAGCCTTACATTTATTATCCTTGAAATGTTATCTTCAGAAAGGTATGTATAGTCAGACTGTGTAAGTCTCCCAAGTAGCTTATTATGCTGATGACATTTCTAGCAAAACACATAAAGTGGTTTCACAAAAACAGTATTTCAAGAATTAAGAAAAGCAGGGCCATTGCTTCAGTTTGGCTCTCTTCTGAAGCCTCTTCTGACCGTTCTCAAAAGCTGGATGTTTAATTGTGACTTGAGGTGAAGCAAAGCATCTCAGTAGATATGTTAGTTCTACATGTTGAGAAGAATTGCATCAAATCTGTGATGCAGAGCATTGTGCTGAGGCAAAGCCTAGTTACTTTATGTAGACCTACATGGCTTAGGGCCAGGTTATCTTCGAGACCGCCTTCTGCCGCATAGCTCCCAGTGACCGGTAAGATCCCACAGAGTTGGTCTCCTCCGGGTCCCATCAGCTAAACAATGCTGGCTGGCAGACCCGCGGGGGAGGGCCTTCTCTGTGGCTGCCCCAGCTCTCTAGAACCAGTTACCTCCTGAGGTCCGGACCATCCCCATCCTATTGGCCTTCCGAAAAGCGGTGAAGACCTGGCTTTTCCAGCAGGCCTGGGGCCATTGATCTCGCTTTTGTGATCTGGCGAGATCCAGCCATGAATGGCGTGAATGAGTTTTTAATGTTTTTAATTTTTAAATGTTTTTTATAATGATTTTTTAAAATGTATTGTGAGCTGCCCTAAGTCTTCAGAGAGGGGTGGCATATAAATTGAATTAATTAAATTAAATTAAATTAAATTACCCTCAGGCTGGCTTGAATAATGGACTACAATCCAAACAAAACAATCTATAGGTGATGCAGAATATGTTACTATCTCTTCTAGTTTTAAAGGTGAGTGTAGATAATATAGCACATATGGTAGACCTAAACATTTTTGCCTTTCCATGAAAGGAACAAGAGTGGGTTTGTCATTTAAGAAAACCATTTTCCTAACTATTCTCATTTAAAATTAATGTTTTTTCTAACTAAAAGAAACACGTGTGTGTGTGTTTAAAAAAAGCTATTGAATGAGATTTGATTTGGGCAGAAACTGGTGACCTCTAGTGACATGTACAATCCCTCTTATAAAGACTCTTCTAAATAATTTAAAATATAACTTTAGAATCGCAGGACCAACATCTATTCCCACAACTGCAGAATTTTGCTGATGCATTTAGCATTCTATAATTCTTTAATCTTTCAAAATTGCTGAATTCCAATACATCAAAATGTTTCCAGTTATCTCAAAAGACCTCAGCAGATTCAATGGATTTTTAGCATATAATAATGTAATCTGTTTTACATATAACCTGCTTCTGTGTAATCAACCTGTGCTCCCTCCCTTCTTACTCTTGCTTCATTCCAATTCAACTCCCAAAATTCCCAAGCCAGTCTTCTGGGAGTTGAAGTTCACACAATTTACAGTTGTTAAAGTTGGGAAACATTGGCCTAATCATTCTGTGCATCTAATGAAATTAGTTGCATCTTACAAAAGCTTATGCACTATAATAAAATGTAATAGCAGACTCTGGATTTATGACAGAAGAAACAAAATGAATAAATAAAAAACTAGGAAAAAATGCAGACGCAAGAAGCAAATCTTGAACTATTAAGTTGTTCACTAATATTAACACACAGTGAATCAATTTATATAGTAAAGCAACTTTCCTGAATTTGAATGGTTTCTTACCCCACCCATGTACGACGAAGGCTACAATTCACACAATCACTTTGGCTGGGAATTGTAAGGGATGTAGACTGAAGGCATTAGTTTAATGAGACTGTTTTAGAATTATTCAAAGTGTACCAATTTTTTAAAATAGGTTTTTAAAAGAGTTCTCGGTTTGCTGATCATTACTGTTTCTCTTTATATTACTCCTGGCTCTTTTCTTCCTTTCTTCTCCGCCCCTTCTTTGAGAAATAACCACCAGGAGCCATCTATCTGAAAATACCTTATTTTATTCCTCCTCCACATCTCTGTGAAGCAATCAGTTATATGTGATTGCAGTGTAGCCTGTAGAACAGCCAAGGCACTTAAACCATCCTGTGATGATTTACTGAATGTTTTCCTTGTCCTAAAGGCTTGATTTGGCACAGTGGGTCTTGCTTATTCCTAATATTGCTTTCACACTGTGATTGGTAGGTAATGTGGCCTAATCTGTTTGGGCTGTTGGGCATGAAATTCCTGACTTAGTAGACTAGGCTTTACTGTGTTGTGATTTGATTTTCTTTGTGCTTTTCAAACAGGGTTCTTACATTTGCAAAACAGGGCCATAATGTGCCACTATAACTCCTGCTGATTGTACTGAACAAAAATTGTGCCAAGTCCAGCTCATGTCAAGAATGAGGCAAAGGCATTTCAGTTCTGCAAATGCATCAATGAAATTATTTTACTTCTGAGGTGAGAAATTTTGAAAGAGAAACTATTATTGTGACCACTAACTATTGCCTGTTAAAACCTCTATTTTGCCACCCCTTCAAACTGTTTCTGTTAAAACAGAAAACAGATTCCACAAGGTCTATAGGAGCATGATTGTTGCAGGATATAATAGCAGATTCTTGAAAGCCTGAAAGAGATATTCTCATATTCTCTCTCTCCCTCTCCCTCTCCCTCTCCCTCTCTCTCTCTCTCTCTCTCCCACTCCCTCCCCTCTCCCTCCCTTCCTCTCTCTTTCCCATTCAATTTAAATAAAAGGCAGGGCAATTTTAAATTTCATTCTCTGCACCAGTGGTTGGTTTCAAAAATTTTTACTATCGGTTCTGTGGGCGTGGCTTGGTGGGCATGGCATGGCTTGGTGGACGTGGCTTGGTGGGCATGGCAGGGGAAGGATACTGCAAAATCTCCATTCCCACTCCACTCCAGGGGAAGGTTACTGCAATATTCCCATTTCCTCCCAATCAGCTGGGACTTGGAAGGCAGAGAATAGATGGGGATGGGGCCAATCAAAATTTTTACTACCAGTTCTTCAAACTACTCAAAATTTCTGCTACCAGTTCTCCAGAACTGATCAGAACCTGCTGAAACGCACCTCTGCTCTGCACCTCTTTCCTTCTAGGACTAAGGTACAGTTCAATACATTCTTCAAGGTCAGCCCTGCACTATTCTACTATAAGAGAAGTTTGGTCAGTAGTTAGGGTTAGATGGATGAATATTACTGCTATGAATCACTGGGTATCAGAGATGAAGACAGATAGACGGATAGACAGATAGACGGATAGACAGACAGACGGATAGACAGACAGGGCATAATCCTCTCACACATGATGTAAGAGTTTAGAGCTAACTTTAGAGAAGGTATGCAAGGGGAAGGTGGGGAGGCCCAGTGTTGAAATGAGGAATAACCTTACAATCATAATTTCCATCGTGTTTCTTGTCTGTTATGATTTTAAGTCAACAACTTAGTAATTAATGATTTAATATAAATTTAGTGGTTTATCTTGTTTAATCTGGAGGTCATCAAACACATTATCACTGAATTTTGCTGGCAAATACTGGCAAGGTTTTCCATGAGGTATGAGGATTAAGCCTTCTTTCCCCACTTCTAAGCAGACATAAGAAAGTTATATAAATAGACTTACTGAATAAAATGAGCAAGCCATGGATACAAAAACTTTTCCACCTAACAGTGATCTAGAATTTTGCCTTCTATATAAGTGAGGCCCCAGGTTTAACTAATAGTTCTCTTCTTTCTATCTTTTCTAGTCAATAACTGAGTAGCAGCTCATTCTAGGCTGATTTTTTTTCCATCCGCTCCTTTTTTTACAAAATGTGTTTCTATAGTATGAGAATCAGAAAATCTTATCAGTTTTGTCCCTCACAAATCTACATGCTTATACTATGGCATCTGTATTCAACTCCTAAGAGCAACTACACATTTTATTGGGATTGCATAGATACCGCTGCAACACAATCCTAGAAAAAGATGAGTTTGATTTAAGGAAGTGAAGAGAGATTAACATCTTCTATTCCTTTATGCTCCATTTTTTATTGCTTAGCCCTAATGTCACAGCAGGATGAGGAAAAGGAGAAGAGGATTACATGACAACTATTAAATGTCATTAAGAGAAACACCACTATTGGTTTTATTGTCAAATACAAAATAAAGAAAATAAAGAAATAGCAGTTGTCAAATAGACATTTGAAGTGATGCAGATTCTTATAATTTTTGTATAGGTGATCAGAATTTGATTGCAACCTGAATAAGAATGGAAAATTCACAGCATCTTCAGACTAGAAGTAATTCAATAATAATCTGTAGACTGGAAGCTGAATCCTACAAAAAGAGATTGAAGGAGGTGAAATTGTTCGGTTTGAAAGAAAATAAAACTGAGGGAGGGGTGGCGAGAAACATATTTCCCGCCACCCCTCTCTCCCGAGTATTATATTGTATTATAACTGTTATGCACTGAGCAGGTTCCCCAGGTTGTGCCCCCTGTTGGAATAGATAGTAGGGTAATGCTTTGTGATTGGTTAACCACGCTGACAGCCGGTATATAAGAGCTGTCAGCGATTGTTCGAGTTGAGTTCTGAGTTCTGAGGAGATCGTTCAGAGTCTCCTGTTCAAGTTAATAAAGAAGTTACCTCAGAAGTTAATGTCGTGCGAAGAGACTATTTGTCAGTACTTATTATTGGCGACGAAGGTGGGATCATCAGACCGGGCAGAATAAACCTCTGTGATTGAACCTTGCTGAGGTAACTGTGAAACGAGACACACAATGGCTGCATCACATAATTTCGCTCCATTCAACCAAGGCAAAGAAATGTGGGACGCCTATGTAGCCCATTTCGAGTGCTTCTTAATAGCCAACGATTACACTAATCTGTCTTCAGAGAGGAAGAGGGCATATTTCCTTAGTTTTTGTGGCACAGAGATGTTCGATACAGCCATGACCCTTATGGCTCCCCAATCCATACATGCTGGAACTTGGGAGGAATTCATGGGCAAATTTAAGAGACACTATGCGCCAGCCCCATCCAGAATTACCCGGCATCAGCACTTCTACCATCACGACCAAGCCCCGGGTGAATCAATCAACCAATATGTCGCGGCGTTGCATAGGGCCTCCCGCCATTGCGAATTTGACAATTTAGATGATTACCTGCTAGACCGCCTTGTGAGTAGAGTGCATGATCAAAATTTGAAAAAGCGATTGATTGCCAACCATGAACTTACTTTCCAGATGGCCTTGAACGAGGCATGCGCTGCAGAATTAGCCGCCTTATCAATTGCTGAGTTACCCCGGGGGCAGAGTGTACCCACCACAGGCGCAGAAGCAAGCTCCACTAATGAAATAAAGACTGAGATTTACTCGGACTCGGAGGAGGAAGGTGAGGTTTATTGTGTTAGGGAGAATAAACTTAAGCCGTCGGGAGCTAAGAATATGTCCGGCAGGGTTACAGAGTGTTTCAGCTGTGGGGGAGACCATATGCGAGCATCTTGCAAATTTAAAGACGCTGTATGCAGGCGATGTGGGCGCCGAGGACACATTGCCAGAGTGTGCCGCGCTGCGCAGCTGCAGACCACCTCCAGGTTCCCAGCTGAAGGAAATACACAACTATGTCGGCCCGGCCCGAAATCCACGCATGTGCGACAATCACAGGGGTTTTCCGCTATCAATAGTGTGACGCCATTAAGAAACGCGGTAAACCCGAAAATCACTTTGACAGTTCTCATTGAACATTGCCCATGTGTCATGGAAGTGGACACAGGTTCCTCTACTTCTATAGTCTCGTGGAGCACTATTAAACGTATAGTGCCAAAATTGTCTAAACGCCTCCTACAGCCTTGCAATCTCCTATTGAAAGACTACCAGGGCTTTCCCATTCCAGTTGTGGGGACAGGAACATTTAGAGTCAAATTTCGAAACTTCTCGGGCCGTTTGTGCCTAGTCATCATCGATGGCCCTTTACCAAGCCTGCTCGGTCTTAACTGGTTTTCTGCTTTGGGCCTCACTCTGCAAGGTATCCACTCGATCAGATCAACGGAACTCGACACTCTTGTACACGAGTTTCCCTCAGTTTTTTCCAATTCACTGGGGAAGTACAAAGGCACACCGGTCTCTTTCAGTCTTGACCCGGCCGTTCCTCCGAAACGCCTCAAACCGTGCAGGGTACCTCTGGCATTACGGCCTCGGGTGGACAAGGAACTCGACAAGCTTATTCAACAGGGCGTATTAGAACCAGTGGATTATGCCAAATGGGAGACCCCCACGGTCATCGCCATCAAGGCAAACGGGTCTATCCGCATTTGCGCGGACTACCAGGCAACAATCAATCACGCCCTACATGAACATGCTTACCCTGTCCCGGTGGTCCAACACTTGCTGCACTCTTTGGGCCAGGGGTCAGTTTTTGCGAAGCTTGACTTATCCCAGGTGTATCAGCAGTTACCTGTTGACGATGTGACTGCTGATGCGCAAACCATCATTACTCATCGTGGAGCCTTCCATTGCCTCGCCGTTCCAGCCAAATCAGGCACCGGCCAACATACCTTCAAGATTACGCATGTGCATACCAGGGGTAAAGGGGTGTTATGTACTGAGCAGGTTCCCCAGGTTGTGCCCCCTGTTGGAACGGATAGTAGGGTAATGCTTTGTGATTGGTTAACCACGCTGACAGCCAGTATATAAGAGCTGTCAGCGATTGTTCGAGTTGAGTTCTGAGTTCTGAGGAGATCGTTCAGAGTCTCCTGTTCAAGTTAATAAAGAAGTTACCTCAGAAGTTAATATCGTGCGAAGAGACTATTTGTCAGTACTTATTAATAACATTCTTGAAATTCCTAAAATCATATCATAAAGAAGAAAGTGAGGATCTCTTCTATATCATGCCAGAATGCAGGACATAAAGAATTTGAGTTACACAAGGAACATCTTAACTGGATGTTAGGAAAAGGAAGTCTATGGAGATTCTCAGTCATCCAGGTCATGGTTGTTCCAAAGGTGCTTTGTAGTAGTGCAAATGAAGCCTTCTTGGCTGCAGGATGTAAACTTTTACACAGTACTCAGGTTAGGACACAGATTAACCTCCAAGTGGCCTCAACAACTCTCTACAAGAATGCAAATGACCAGCTGTCGGAAAGGCATATAAATCTTTCCATTCCCAATCATCAACTGAAGAAGCTTCTTGGATGAGAAACGAAGCATCTTCAAAGTAAAACCAGAAAGGCCAGTTGCCTCTTGAAAATCACTTTTGGGGCAACCATGACCTGGATGACTGAGAATCTCCATAGACTTTTAACTATGCATTTTGGTGTGAACACTCTTTGAATGGTGCAGGAGTATGAATGAATTTCCAGAAGAATTGCAGACTGCAGGAACCATTTGCACTTCAGTTTGAGATGCAGACAATGCAGACTCATCCCCAACAGCCT